TTTTTGCTCACAAGACTCCATAGCTTAGAGGGAGCATTGGCCGCAGGGCTCGGTTTGGGGCCCAATACTTTTCAGTATTTTTATCAGTGATCTGGATGAAGGGGTAGAAGGGCTACTCATTAAATTTGCTGATGATACCAAATTCGGAGGAGTAGCACATACCTAAGAAGATAGAGTTAAAATTCAACAAGACCTGAATACTCTGGAGAAGTGAGCAGTTGCAAACGGGAAGCAATTCAACGAAGATAAATGCACAATATTACATCTGGACCACAAAAATGTCAAGCACAAATACTGAATGGGGGATACATTTCTGGGGAGTAGTGTATGTGAAAGAGATCTTGGGGTAAGGGTGGACTGCAAATGAAATATGAGCAGTCAGTGTTATGCGGTGGCAAAAAAGGCAAATTCAGTCTTGGGTTGTATTAAAAGGGCCATAGCATCGAAATTGCAGGAGGTCATAGCCCCTCTGTATACTGCCTTGGTCAGGCCTCACTTTGAGTACTGTGTGCAGTTCTGGAGGCCTTACTTCAAAAAGGACGTGGATAAAATTGAGAGGGTGCAGAAGAGAGTGATGAGAATGATCAGGGGTCTGGAGACTGAGCACTACGAGGAAAGGGTAAAGGCCTTGGGAATAGTTTGGAGAAGAGGAGATTGAGAGGGGACATGATTGCTCTCTTTAAATATTTGAAAGACTGTCATTTGGAGGAGGACAAGGAGCTGTTCCAGTTGGCAGCAGAGGACAGGACCCAAAGCAATGGGTTTAAATTACTTGCAGAAAGGTATCGGCTGGATATTAGGAAAACCTTTTTCACTGTCAGAGTGGTTCAAAGGTGGAACCAGCTGCCTGGAGAGGTGGTTAGTTCCCCGTCACTGACAGCTTTCAAGAAGAGGCTGGATGAATATTTGTCAGAGATGCTTTAGGCTGGTCCTGCATTGGGCAGGGGGTTGGACTAGATGGTCTGTATGGCCCCTTCCAACTCTATGATTCTATGAATCCAAAGATATAGACAGTTGAAACAAGCCCCTCCCCCTTCAGTCCCATTCAATCATACCCCACAATCCCTGCCTAGCTTTCATGCACTCTACACCCCCACCTGTGAATAGACAGTTATTTTATCTATGGCAGCGAACCAAGCACAATTAGTCTCCAAGGTCATCCCAGAGAAGGGAGGTATCTTAAGAAGAGTTACATCACCACTACACAGGGCTATTCTCATACTCATGCACTGATACCCCTCCCTCAGGAATGTCCCCGAAACAATGGCAAACAAGAGTCCAAGTTTGACAGTGCCTCACAAGGATATTACCTCATTCTGTGATGTCATGTCCTGTGATGCCACTTCCAGGTCAAAAATCAGGTGATGCCACTTCCTCAGCCCCACCCCTTCCTGTGATGTCACTTTCAGACCACTCCCCCAAACCCACCTCTTCCTCCAAAGTCACCTTGCGGTTCTCGAATATCTGACATTTAGTTTATGTGGCTCTTACATGAAGCAAGTTTGGCCACCCCTGCTAGAGGATGAATATGTGAAACATGCATTGATTAATCCATAGCACATACATCAAACAAAGGATATGTTGTATTCCAGTTTGGTGTAGTGGTTAAGTGTGCGGACTCTAATCTGGGGGAACTGGGTTTGATTCCCCACTCCTCCACTTGCCCCTGCTGGATGACTTTGGGCTAGCCATTGTTCTGGCACAGCTATTCTTGAAAAAGAGCAGTTTCTGTCAGAGCTCTCTCAGCCCCACCTACCTCACAGGGTGTCTGTTGTGGGGAGGGGAAGGGAAAGGAGTTTGTAAGCTGCTCTGAGACTCCTTTAAGTAGTGAAGGGCAGGGTATAAATCCAATCTCTTCTCTTCTTCTCTTTTTCTTCCTAGGCTTTGGCAATGGAGTAATGTTCCAGAACCTCAGGCATGCTGAATTATCAGCAGAGGACTGTGAAACCTATCATTTGCTAGTACTTGCTATGGTGAGGAAAAATGTACATTCCAAATAAACAACACACCCACTCAGTTTTGCACTGAAGCTAAGAAGAGGGTATAAGTAAAAAGAAGATTAGAGAGCTGGGGGTGAGCTCAGTGGGCAAGGTAAGCCCTGAAGTACTGTCAGGTTTGGCTACGTAGCGAGTTCAACAAAGTGGGATAAAATTGCAAATGTGCTTCTCTTCAGTCCTCCACTGCTGCACTGGCATGAATGGCTAGCCAGTGTGTATACAAGAAAGATTAAAGGGCAGTACAACTTTCCTTTACTCTCTGTATTTTGCCAGCAGATGGGATATCATGCTATGGAAAGAGACCTGAAGGTCCACCCTACATAAGATAAAATGATGTGAACACTTGGGAAAACCTTAACACTCTGGAATGGAAAGTTACATCCCTACAACATACCATTCTACAGTCATGAATAGAGAGAAATCTTCTTTCCATAAAATCCATTCAGTTCTTTCTGTTGTTGTTAGAGAAAGTACATGAGCTTTCTGATTAAGTGTCATCCTCAATTTTGTCATTTATGAAAGCACAAAAACCAGCATCCACTTCTTGGCTGCACAGGACTGTTTTTAATCCCTCTTTTTTTGTGGGAATGACCTGAAACCGTGCCTTTATGTGAAAAATGAAGCTGTAAGAACCATTCATCATCTTCCTATGCTAGCTAGTAAGCTACATTGGTTTGTAGTTTTTTCTTGCAATCTGTAGAAGTCATCTGCAGCCAAACTAGTTATTGGTCAACATGGTTCAAATGACGGCTGTGACTTGTATTGTATTCTAAATAGGAAACTCTTCTTTAAGTGAAAGCCAAAACCCAAAATGAAATTCCTCCTATATAAATTCCACAACAGGCAAGGTATTATTATCCTGGAGTGCAAACTGATTCCATTTCATTTCTATTTTTCACCAATGCAATGAAATTCATGGATGAAGACAATCATAAAGATTAAAAAAATGTGTTAAGGGAGTGCAAACTGATTCCATTTCATTTCTACTTTCCACCAACGCAATGAAATTCATGGATGAAGACAAACAAAGATTTAAAAAATGTGTTGCTTAAGTGGAGTAATAGGTACAGAAAGTGGACTGAGAGGACCAGAAAGCTCATGCATGAAATACTGAAGAGGAGAACACAAGTTAGAATTAAACTTTTTAGGTTACAAAATACATTGCAGTTGTTGGGGCTCTCACCATGTTGTGAAAACAATTACAAACCAAATGAGAGAAAGATTGTGCAGCATAATACTCATCCATAATTTATTTGCTTTATTTATTATCCCTGTTCATGCTTCACAATCAAATCTGCTAAATCAAACTTTACAATATCCTGTTGTGAGAGCCCTTAGAAATGATTCAGGTATTGCAACTTGAAGGTCAAAGATGGAACACCCAGAGACACTTACAGTGGAAAGCTTACTCCCATCTTAAGCCCACTGAAATCAATTTATTTAGACTGGTGTAATTCTGCATAGTGTTGCAGTGTTAAACACCTTCCCAGTGCTGGAGCTCCTAGAATACATGCCTTTAAAAAAGCAAATTGAATGGTGAAAGTAAAGCTTCTAAATTTTCAGTGACATTCCCCAAACTTGGTCCCCTTAAATTAAACAGGCACAAAATGATATGGTATTTTCTACATGTGTGGCCATTTTTAAAGCAAACTAAAATCCATACAAAAGATTTCCACATTCACAATTTAGCCATCTTTTATAAACAAAACACATGCTTCAATTTGAGTCCTGTGCAGAGCAATGTAGGCATTTATACTATAAGCCGCCTTGAGTTCTGCAAGAGAGAAAGGCGGCTTAGAAATGTTATAAATAAATAATATAATATCTCAGCGATAACACCAAGAGGACAGTTTATTTCCCATAATTGGGAAACACCAGGAGAAAACAATGACACTGTATTGATCCTGTGGAATGTGAACTTTTGTTGTGTAAGACCAAGGAAAGGAAGCAAATTTCCTGCAAGACAATTTCAACTTCTAAGTGTTAATTTACAACTGTAATATGATTATCAAGGAACTCCTTTGATCATTTGGTATAAATACTGGTAAAATCCAACAATCGGCATTGGCTCTTGGTAGGAGTCAGCCCGAGAGGCCTTTCATTCTCTGCATGCCTTGGGGTGGGGGAAACTTTGCTTGCATGTCTATTGTTTATGTTTTCACTATTAGCATTTAGGAAATAGGAGTGTACTGTGTTGGTAAATCTTAGAATGTATTTTCCTTTAATAAAGATAAGTTTTATTTAAATAAGAGACCTTTGAGTGTCTCTGCCAGCGCCTTAGTGATTTCCAAGCTTACACCTCTGCCTTTGGTAGGGAGGCAACATTCAGGGAACACACGAACCGAGGGGAGCATGTGGGTGACACGGTTAAACACGCTTTCACAGACACGTGCAGCCACACACATTTTTTCTCACAACAGACCTCACCTTTTATAGATGAATCCTTTAGTGGCATATATGCCATTCGGTAAACCCACCTACCTGTAAGTCCATCCCAAAACTAACCTCATTGGTGCGTGTAGTAAGGGGTTGCCACCTAAAGGGGTTGGCCAATATTGAAACTCTAGACTCTAACTCGAGAGATGGCATCTGGTGAGGTTTGAAAGCTTGGTGCTAGGATGCCCATTGAAGTGCAGATGAATCTTGCCCGTTCCCAGGTAATCAAAGCCCATCTGACAGGAAATGGCCATTCAGATGTAGAGCAGAAATGTGTATACGTGTGCTTTTAACAGTTCATCAATGGAGGCTGATTTCAAACAAGTTGTTGTTTGGTTGGCAACAATGGCGATGTGCTTCTTCTTCCACCTCAGGCAGCAGCTGTGTATTTGAAACCTCAATTCTCAACATCCTGCTCCTCTTTTTCTGCGAAATGACCCCTGCACACAGCATTACCTCATTGGTGTGCTGCAACTCATGTGCAAATCGACTGACTTCTCTGAAAATCAAAGATACTGTGGGGTTCCTTAATGTGCTACATTTACCCACCAACACAAGGACATGGGATATGAAGTCTTGTACCTGAAACTGAATAAAAATATTTGTAAGGTTCACCTTCTCAGTGTTTAAACAGAACAAGCCCCCCTATAAATATGCACTGAAATATTTGGAACACTCCCTGCAGATGGGAAACTAGAGGTTGAACAAGAGGTCCAACAGCCATCTCTTGACATTGAAGACACAGTAGGTTCAGATGTAATACCAAACTATAGTTTGGTAAGATATGAACAGGCCTTGGATTTGCATGCAAATTACTTTCTCTTAGAGCAAACCATAGAATGAAATTCCATACAACCTGACAAAATCATCCAAACATGAAGATCTGTTTAGACACAATGGCACCATTGTTTTATTATTTAAGACATTTCTTAAAGGTCCAAAGCCGTTTGCAGAAATTTGCAAACCAAACCAAACTGAACAATATAATTTAAGGCAAGACCTCAAAGAAGACATACACACAACCTGGATATGTTCTCATTCATTGGCACCAAGCTGTGAGCCATATGCCTTCAGCTCACAGCCAAGAGCTTGTGCCTCTAGCTATGTTGACTATTGTGCCAATAAGCTGAAAGGAGGCAAAGGCTCAGCTAGGAGTTATGCAGCTGGCAAGACGTTCCCCAATATTCAATCTCTCTGTGCTGATAAGAAAAGAGAAAGACTTCAGTTCAACAGCAGCCACCATATGAAAGCCAGTGTGGTATAACATTTAGAGCTTCAGAGTAATGTCTGCGAGACCCAGATTCAGATGCTGGGTGGGTGGGTGGAGGAAGCTGGTGGGCAGCTGGGAGAGTGATGGGGCAGGAAGAGAGAGAGATGGAGTGGGGGGCAGAAAGAGAGGAACTGGCAGACATGGAGGAGAGAGGGGGTAAGAGAACAGGTGATGAGAGGGAGCAAGAGTGAGAGACAGAGAAGTAGGTGGAGAGGGAAGGAAGCAAGGATGGGAGGAATGGGATAGCCACTCCCACAAGTTTCTTGTGGATCCCCACTTGTCAGTACTGATTGCTGCTTCCCCACCTTCCAGTATAGCTGTGCTATGGAGCCTACATGGTTCTAGTGAGTGGTAGAAACAATCTGTGTAACTAGAAGGTGTATACGATCTACTGTGATAGCTAAACTCTACATCTTAATTTTGAGAAACAAATCTATGGCTTTTTAATGAGAGAGAGTACCACAGTTTACAGTGCTGCAAATCAACTGGAAGACAGACAGACTACAGTAACTTTACATTAATTAACTGCAACTTTTAAGGTCTACATTTCAGAGTTTCATTGCACAAAATCCTTAGCATATATTATTTAATATTGTCATGTTTTATTACCCTCTGGGGTACAAATATGTGCCTGAATTCACACAGTACACCTTAAAATATGACACAAAAATAATACAATACAGAATATAAATCTAATTAATACTGAGTGTCACCCATGATTTTGGGATATATATTAATATGCTGATTTTTCTCTCTGTCTGGCCATATCTGAGCGGCTATTTTATTGTCAAAATGTGACGATTACATTGTACTTTTGCCTTTCCTATCCAGAGCTGCTTTGTCCTTCTACAGCCACAAAATGTCCACCCACATTAGCTTCAGATTCAAGCCATTCATTATTGGTGACATAATCCACAACACATTTTGTGCAGCTGGCCTATGAATTAGGAGTTCATCACCTACTCAGTGCCCTTTATATCACTCCTCTTCAGTTTGTGGGTCACAGAAATGAGACCTACTTGCCATATCAGAAGGAGACTGACCCCTATATTCCTCCTCCTGACTGTCAGGGAAGAAGTCAGGAAAAGGGGGGAGATTCTATTTTTGGGAATAGTATGAATGTAGTATTCATTCTGTCAAAAATAGCAAAACAGAATACATATTCAGATCTATGCAGAATGCTGAGTGAAATCCTAAGGCAAGCAAGCAGCACAGAACTAGAGGAATGGAATTTGCTCATCCCTGGTCCCATTGAAACTGCCTCCAAGTAAACATGGTCAAGATTAGGCTGCTAGGGTGAAAATGAAAACATGAGGCAGGATCTTTCTCCTAAGTATACTTTGGGAACAGAGAATTACACCAGACACAGCCACATGTACAACAGTTCTCTGTATTACAAGCAAGTAAAGAAATAGAAGCAAGCAGAAAACTATGGCTCCAGTCATCTTGTAGTAAATGCTGGATCTGTCCTGAACCATGCCCAGCCATCATGGATGTCCACAAGGTTTAGGAGCTTCTGTTCTGTGGCCAAATCTACTGCATCACACACACACACAGTTACTCAATCCTTTTCTTAGGCTTCTATAAGTAGGCTAGTTACTCCTCCCACAAAACTACCTATAAATCTTTGAAGATTTTCAGCATTTAAATATAACATGATGTTTTCATCTATGTGTTAGAGATCACTGAAACATAAAATCAAAGCCACCCTTAATATGTTAAAGTTTTTCAACTGATATTATTATAGATTTGGAATAAGGTCCGTTGTGGAAATAAATACAACGAGCTCTAGAAAAAGGCTGGGTGGGGTCTAAAATCACCCAATCAGCTTCCACAGGAAGAACCTGGCAGACCCTGCTCTGAAGCACTAACTGCTACGTCACACTGGCTGTCATTGGGGGCGGGGGCACCTCAGCAGGGTATAATGACACAGAGTTCACCATTTTCTCCAGGGGGACTGATCTCTGCCATCTGGAAAGCAGTTGTAATTCTGAGTGATCTCCAGCCCTCACTTGGAGATTGGCAACAATGGTTCCACAGGAGGAAATGGCTGGTTTGGAGGATGGAGTCTGTGGCATTGTACCTGTCTGAGGTTCCACCCCTCCTCAAACCCCACCCTCTCCAGGCTCCATCCCTCTCTCTGCCATCTGGAAAGCAGTTGTAATTCTGAGTGATCTCCAGCCCTCACTTGGAGATTGGCAACAATGGTTCCACAGGAGGAAATGGCTGGTTTGGAGGATGGAGTCTGTGGCATTGTACCTGTCTGAGGTTCCACCCCTCCTCAAACCCCACCCTCTCCAGGCTCCATCCCTCAGATCTCCAGGAATTTCCCAACCTGGAGTTGGTAATCCTATCTTTTCCAGCCAACCATCAACCTACCTTTATCTGTCCCTCTGACTTCAGCTTTCAATCTCACTACCACCACCTGCAGCCTCTACCTAGGAAATGTTTCTCCACAGTGGGGACCCAAGCAGGAGGGAAGCAAACTCAGCAAGGTATAATGACACAGAGTCCACCTTGCAAAGCAGCCATTTTCTCCAGGGAAACTGAGCTCTGTCATCTAGAGAGCAGTTGTAATTCTGAGTGATCTCCAGCCCTCACCTGGAGAATGGCAGCAACAGATCCCCAGGAGAAAATAACTGCTTTGGAGGG